CTATGAAGTTATTGGAGGCTGACTTGCATTTAAGTAGCTGCTTCTACTTTTTTACATGACAGTAAAACTAATGAATGATATGGAATTTCCAAGATAATAAAATGTGTGTTTATCTCTTCTGCATACATATATTTGCTGTTCATAATCCCCTGTTCATCTGGAATTTCAATTAACTATTAGTTAATTGACATATTATATCATATTTAGCTAACCCCCATTTTCTTGGCAATTTCCAAAACTACAAAATGACAAAAGAATGCGGTGTCCATACTGAGCAGGCATATGCGGTGCCTTCTGCCTCAGGAGAGCTGTGTGGCCACCGGGGATTGCACCAGAGAGGCCTTTAAAAAATTTAATAACAAAACAACATTACAAACCACCGGAACCCCTTCAATACATATAATTAGGAAATCAGTGTTTTTTTTTTCTCCCTGAAAATTGAAGTGTTTTATCTGCTTTATTCCATTGTTATGATTTTAGACCATATTTGCTGAAATTGTTTCTGCTAAAGAAAGTTTTTAAAGGGAGGTTGGAAAAAACTCTTCTGAGAACAACTTAAGTGTCATATTCAACATATATATATTCATGCATTTGGGCTCAAAAGATGTTGACAGTGGTGCCTCCAAGTGTTTCTTCAGTTTTCCTCAAACAGAACAAATGGTAAAAAGTGAATACCATGTCTGGTGCTTGAGACATCAACCTGGAGTATCATATACCAACATTTTCTAAGGACTTAAGATTCTTTTCAGGAATCAATGTAAAATAATTCATAATTCAACTACAAGACAATGTAGGGCTTCCAGGTATAGATGTTCCAACTTTCAGCGTTTTATTGCTGCTCTCAGTGTTTTTGAAATGACAGTTTGCTCTTCATAGAACAAGTTTAAAATTAGAAAAATCAAACACCCATTAGAGAAAGCAGATTTACGCTCCTATTAATTGATATAGAGAAGTAAAACTCCTTTCATCCAGGCAGGAGCCCAGTGCATTCCCTGCAGACATTCTCGGGGGCTAAAACCTGGGTGAGGTGCAGCCCACTGGCCTCAGCCACATCTGTCCGTCTTCAAGAGTAGAAGCTTGAGTTTTCAGTGTAAGGATGTGCTTCTCTGGGGGAGCATCTTCGGCAACACCTGCACACAAATCTTAGGGTGTGTGTGTTACTCTTTTCCTGCTTTTATTTTTTAAAAAGCAAACAACCTTGAAAGTTGAACTCCCCACTCTGTTCTGGCTTCTCTCTGCTCTGCCGGACAGGAGGTAAAGTAGCATGCCTGTTTAGTACCCAGGAAATTATTCTTACGGGGAAGGGAGACTCTAAGTGTTTAAACACGGAGAGAAGCACTGAGGACCAGGCACAGAATTGTCTCCTTCCTGAAGCTGGAAGCAACCCAGGTGGGGGAGGAAAAGGCCCCTGGGGTAAGAATCTGTTGAAATATGACCCGTGATTTTTAACCTGAAGCATTTGAGTTCTAATAGAAGCCCCCTTTAATGTCTTCTGTAGCTTTGATTTTGGAACTCGTCACATTCCTCATTAAAGCAATCACTGTTAAAACATAAAGCAACACAGGATTTATTTCTTCATTAAACTGATGATCCGTATATGAAGCCAATTAACATTATGAGTCTGGTGAACATCAAGTGTAAAGAGGTTAGAGAAAATTAAAAGCAGTCACCTTGGTCTTTAGATAAAGAAAGTACACTTTAAGGTTGTAAATCATCAGAGTGTCCAAGCAGGACAGATGGATGAATTTGGTTAATTGGAAAATACATTTTACCGCACAAGAATTAAGGAAAAATAATCTTTTTGTTACTAACACCTTTTCCCTGGCCGAGGTTGTACTAGATAATCAGAGTGGGGAAAGGGGTTTCGCGTCATCAAAGTTTGCTGTAGCCTCTCGTTACTAACATTGTTTAGTTGTTTTTTATTCGCTATTTTGTCAACAGCAACCCGCCCAGCCTTGCTGCTCCGGCAGACGCAACGTGGGTTGAGCCCAGGCAGAGGGGCCCGAGCTGGCTCCGAGCCCCGCGAGAAGTGGGTGTTCTCCGGAGCCTGGCTGGTTGGCCAGGGAGGCGGCCAAGCTGGCCTCGGGACGCGAGAGGGCCAGGACCAGGCGGCGAAAGGCCGCGGGACGCTTCCCGGGTGGAGCCGCGGGGCAAGAGCCGCGCGCGGAAATGCGGAATCGAGATTTCTGTCCCTGCTGGGAGCGCTGAGCGGGCGTCCAAAGTAACTTTGGCAGGTTTGGACCAGAGACGATACCAGTCGGTCCCCGAAAATCCCGGGATCCAGGGGGACGGGATCGGCCGCCGCTCAGCTCAGAGCCCCAGAAGGACTCTCAGACCCGTCTCGTGTCCCTCCACAACTCGGGAAAAACCGGTGCCGCTGTCTAGGGTTTGGTCCCGGCCGGGGAGCGCAGAAAGAGTGCTATCGGCAGACCCTGGACGAAACTGTGAAGTCCTAGGACATCTCTGGACCTTGTTGCTTTGGCAGATACCGGGGATGAGGATCTGAGGCTGGGGTTTGAACCTCGTTTTCTGCGGCCAACGCGGAGCCTGGCGTCTGAAGCCGAGGGTCCCCGCACAGAAACCCAGGTGCGCCTGGAGCATCTTGACTAAGCCGGCCCGGTTGCCTTCCTCGCCTTGCTTCTCAGGGACGGGGCTGCCGGCGCGCACAGGGCACCCAGGCGGAGAGCTGCCGCCTAGGGCAGGCAGGAGGGAAGTTGAGGGGGCTTTTGGAAGCCTCGGGCTCTTACAAGGGGCATCAAAGAGCGGTGGTCCTCTGAGGGACACTGGGAGAGAGACAGTGCGCGCGAGCTGAGTCTATTAGCTGGGGGCAGAGAGAGGGTCGGCTCCAGTCTTCTCTAGGTGAGCTGAAAGCAGCTCTCAGCAGCCCCGCTGGCCTCGCCTGCTACCGCATTCGCCTTCCGATCTGCAGGCGTGCTACCCCTCGGCCCCGAGCCCGCCGCCTGGATCTGCGGAGTCGGTGGTCCTGACGGAGTTGGCGCCGCGGACCCTCTCCACTCTGAACCGAGTCGGAGTTTCCAGCGGTTTCTTCTGTGTGGTGGGGACTACTCCCCGCTCCAGGTCGGGCAATGCCCAGGAGGGGCCGTTGAGGTGCATCCCGACTTGCCTAGGCAGGTGCCCCGTTTTCCTCCAGGAGGTTTTCGCAGGGATGTCCACGGGTGGGTCAGAGCCCGGCACACGCGCTTCGCCCAGGCGGGTGTCCACGTGTGGGCCCGCCAGGCCTTTTGTTTCCAACGCGCTGTGTCCTTAAGGTCAAAGCTGTATCTCAGGCGGTGCACAGACCCTACCCACCGCTTTGCCACGGCTCCCGAACGCAGCATTAGAATGTTTATAAAATATTCAATTTATGCAGTCTGTCCAAGAAGCCATCGTCCCAAAATAAAATGAGCAGTCTAGACAGAACACAGACACCAGAACTTATCAACAGTTGTCTGACTTGCATCTTCTGATGCATCTTGAGTGGGTCATAATACCAACTTTATTTTCAGTGGTGCATAAATTAATTACACGCATTTAATAACCAAAATATCATTATATTCCCCCTTTAATATCATAAAGGCTTTCCGCCAGGGAAGCACTTAATAGTGCAGGGGGCCGTAACGGGCTATTATCCTGGTGTAATGCTATTACAGAACCAATTATGCGCCATTAGACTTGCTTTTTTTGCAGTTTATGTGATTTGATCCAATCCCGCGCCCCTGACTTGAAAATTTCAGCCCGGTACTTTAGAGTTTAATTTTCACCCAGGCAGAGGGAAGGGCGGTCTCTCTCTGCTGAGTGTCTGCCTCGGATGCATTTTAAAAGTAATTGCGAAGGGTCCCATCGCATATCATTTGCATCGAAAAGCAACCATAAATTCAGGGACCCCTTGCTGAGAACAAAATCAAACTTTCCTTTTGTACGGTCGCTTGGAAAGGGAAACCGTGTGCAAAGAGTCTCCCCAAAACCCATCCGGCTGCGAAAATTAGCAGCTCTTTGTCAATTCGCAGCCCGGGAGCCGCCAGGCCTCCGACGAGGGCGCGCCCAAATCTAAACTCCAAGAGAAAGAAGGTTTACTTTAGGGGACTCTAGCGGGGTGGAGTGGAGCGTTAAGAAAATAATGCCCTTTCGGGGGGTGGTGGGAGTGACGGTTGTTACTATTCCTCTTTTAAAAGAAAAGAGGAAAATGATTCCTGGTGTTTGCTGAGAAAGGACTTTTTTTTTTTTTCTTTTTACACCACGTGGGCCATTTGTAAGGCCCAATAGACCTATCCAAGTTACTCGCTGTAGACAGCGCTGGAAATAATCAGATTAAGGCCAATTATGCGTGAGTTTATAAAGGCGAGTGCTGAGCGGCGGCGCGCGCTGTAGACAGCAAGACATCTGGCCACTTCCCGAGTCACTTTTCTGGTCTTGTGGGAACCAGCCGTGCCGAGCCCCGCCCGCCTCCAGCCGAGCCCGGCGAGCGGACCGGAGGCAGTCACGTTCCGGCCTTCCTCGCCCGCCCTTGCGCCGAGGTACGCCCGGTTCCCGACCCTCTCACCGGGACCCGCGCGCTAGGCCTGTGGGCTCGGCTGTGCCTTCTTGGCCTGGACTGCCTCTCGCCCAGATGGCCTGACGCGTTCGCCGGACCAAGCTGCAGTGATCTGGGTGCAGCGCTTGAGCGGGGGACCCCTGAGAGCCGGGAACTGAGTGGTACTCAGGGCCAGGGTGGGAGAACAGCTGTCGGGGAGGTGGACCTGAACTGAAGAGGAAACCCGCGGGGACCCGATTTGAAACGGCGCTGCCACCTTCCCTCCAGTTCCCACAGTGGGCTGAGGGCGTTGGGAGGGGGTTTTCCCGGGGGAAGCTCCCGGTGCGCTCCGGGGCCGGACTAGATTCCAGGCAGAGGGAGACTTTGATGATCGATGTTTGCTTTTCATCCAGGCCGAAGCCAGGCGAGCCTGTAGGTCCCGCGGTCACCATCCCGAGTTCGGGCCGTCCAGAAGATCCGGCCGTCAGGGATGTTTTATTTCCACTGTCCGCCACAGCTTGAGGGTGAGTAAGCGCCGCTCCCGGGCACCTCCGAAAAGCCTGCTCCTGCCAGAACGGACCCAAGCGGCAGTGGGGCTGGCAGGTTGTTGGGTGCGGGGGTGCAGCCGCCGGACGGCGGGTAGGGGTGCCCCTGGCTCCCTCCCCGTACCCGGCTCCAGCCTCCTGCCCCTTCGCCACCTGCCTCCCACCTCTCTCCCTGTCTGAGCTGGGGCGGCTTCGGGCTTTGCCGCAGGGACCAGCGGGGTCCTCCCAGCACAGATGCTGGTGTCACGCCTCTAATCGCTCCCCCCTCCTCAGCCACCCAGGGGGCCGCATCAATCTTTCACGGTGTTTTGCAAACATCCCAAAAAGCCAAGGTGAACCAGGGAGTTGGCTCGAATTGTCCTGGGTCAGACCATGAGCCGGAACGACCCCATTGCCGGCTGCTCTCACACCCGCACAGGGCAATATTTCTGGCGGGCGGGGGTGGGGGAGAAGGCGACATCTGTTCCCAGTCACCGTAGCCCTCTGAGAGCCGAGAGCCGGGTGGCCCAGCCCTCCACTCCACGGGCCCAAGTGCCCTGACCTGGCGTCATCTCTGTGACTCCCTGGGTTTCTGACCTCAAATGCCAACTACTCCTCACTCCTAGGGGCAGCCCCACGGCCAGGATTTGGGGTCTTTGAGAGTCTCCAGGCTTTAGAAGAAATTCCACTTCAGGATCCCTGGTGTAGCCTCTGCACTGGATTGTTAGGTGGGCGTAGGTGAGAAGGGGACAGCTTGGATCTCTGGTGCCCTCAGGGTGGAGAGGGGAGCAGAAATTCTCAGGAATGGATCCTCCACACAAGGGGAGATTAGTATGCATCAGGCAAAGGCAAAGCAGCATATTCTGACCCTTTAACAGCACTCTCCTCAGAGCAGTAGTCTCAGACATGGGACAGAAGGATGTCTGTAACTGTGGGAGTAATACCAGAACTTGTCTTTGACAATCTACTCCTTTGATTTACTTGTGGGTGGAAGAATTTTAGAGGCAAGGAAATCCAGGGAGGCATGGGACAGGACAAAGGTGGTGAGACACTGAGGGACCTAGGACATCAGAAGATGCTTGGCCCCCTTGCCCTAGGTTACCTTGAGCAGTGGCTGAGCCTTAGCTGGCCAACCGCACAAGGATTTCAGAAGTGTATGTTCTTCCCAAGAAAGCTTTTAAGAGTTTAGTAGGATTTCCCAGAGAGGACTAATGAGGATCAGTGTTTAAGACCTACCAGCTTGGTCAGCATTTCTAAGAAGGGAAGGCCAGACACTTGCCTGCATTTCACCACCTTTTGCCTTCAAGGACCCATCGTGATTGGCTTTATGAAAGGTCGGAGAGGTACACCCCCTGACATTGTACCCCAGTCCTGAAGGGAGGCCCTCCGAATGTGTGGTGGATGCATCTTCCTTTCACTTCTGAACTTTGGGTTTGGACTGATTGATACCCAGTGGCCCACTCTTCTAGTCAAAGTTGAGAAGGCTGAGATCTGGGGTATTTGGCAGGTGGTGGGCTGTGTGGATGACTTAAGGGGAAAAACCTGTTGGTAGCACGGATTGCAGGAACCACTTAGGGGGAGTTCTAGCCCAGCCTGTTACAAGTTCTAGCCCCAACACACTGAGTTGCTTACTGCTGTCAACCCAGCTCAGTGGGCTTATCTCTACTTCCATACCTGAGGCACATCCTACCTGGAGGCTGACTGATTGCTATAATCAGAAGAAAAGGACATGGGCCTTTAAAAACCTTTGAAAAAAATCTTTTTGCAGATGTGTTTCTAAGCCAGTTTTGCAGAAAGAGGTGTTCAGTGTTGCTGGAGAGGAGGTGATCTGCTGCAGATGGAAAGGTTGAGAACAGGTTTTTAGAATGTAAACCTATCAGCTTTTTAATTGTTATTTTTTTATTAATCTAGAGAGGCATAAAGGAGAAAGCACAGTATGGTTCATAATCTCACTTCTCAGATAATTTTTCTGATATTAAATTAAGAAGATTCCATTTATCTGCTTAGGAAATTAAAGTAGAACAGAAACCTATACACTGAAAAGTGGAATTCTCCTCCCCTTTTTTTCTAAAGGCACTCCCTATTGTTGGTTTCTTGTGATTCCTTCAAGGAAAACAAGTTTTTGACCTCCTTTATATCATTTTCTAGGTATGTGATATACTTTATTTGTACAGAGATTATACTGCCATGTCATTCAGGACTTTGCATAATACACATTTTGGGATTTTTTTCCATGTTGATGTATACAGATCTACTGACTTCTTTTAAATAGCTGTGTAATATTCCATCAGTTGCTGTGCAGAAAGTGTCTACTGATGGGAACTTTGGTTGTTTCAGTTTTTTTTTTTATTATTATCATGTTGCCAAGAACATTCTTCTTTCTTTACTTTGTCACCCTTTTTAAGTGTATTCATAGATTAAATGCCTGTAGATGCACTTAAATTATTGATGAAAATTGTCATTTACCTTCTAATAAGGCTACACCAGTAGATGCTGCTACAAATAGATAAATGGCATGCATGTTTGATTACACTCTTATCTGTACTAGGAATCATGATGCCCCTGATGTTTTTGGGGTTATTTTTTTGCCAAAAAACATGGCATAAATAGTAATTATTTGTTCTGTTTTGTTTAATTATCAACAAGGTTTAACATTTTCATAGCATTATTGACCATTCTACTTATTTTTAAGTAAAAAGTTTCTTCTCATATTTTTGTCTTTTCTATTAGGTTGTCAATCTTTGTTCTTATTAATTTAATGAAACATCAGCCTTTTTTAGGATTCAATTTGACACACAGTGTTTCACTTAAGGAATTATGTGTATACAAGGAGGTGAACCAATGTGGAGCAGCAGATGTAAATTAGAAGAGTGAGGCTGATTGTGACTGGAGCTCCTCAGAGATTTCATCCCATTGTCACCAGTCAAGTTCTTTTTATCAAAAGGAAAAAGTTTGGTATTCTGCAAAATAATGGAAATAAGGCTGCTGTGAGGTGCTCTTTTAAGCTTCCAATGATCTGGAGAAAAATATTTGCATCTAGGGTTTTGAAGAAGAATGCAGTTTGGACAAGAAGACGGAGGCTTCTGCAGAGAGTGGGGTATTGTGGCAGAGGATGTCGCACTGGAGAGAAGAGTATATTAAGTAGGCGGGGCTCCCTTTAGTAGATGGAATTTTTAAAAGCCTAAAATATCTTGCTTCTTTGAGACTGAGGTCCTTCTGAGGGACGTGGTCTGGGCACTGTGCCTTGCCAGCTTCTAATGCTGAAGAGTCAGTGATTCTGAGACCACAGCCCATGGCAGGTAGTGTTCACTGGCTAATGAGAACTTTCTCATTTATTTTCCTAAGAAGCCATTTTGGACTGTCAAGTAAATGGTAAACATTTGGAAAATGATCTGAATGCACATTTGGGGCCAATGTCTGTTCTGGCTTTATAGGAGCTTTGGAGGCTACCAGAAGGACAGTGAAAAGGATGCCTTTCTTTTCAGGGAAGAAGAAGCAGTGCATCCTTTATGAGCCTGGCAAGAGGGTAGGGTGCCTTTTGAGAATGGCCGTGTGTAAATCTGCTCAGAATTCAGGACAGCCACTATTGGGGCAGATCTCTTGTTTATTGACATCTATATAACAGATCCACTATGATGCTGATGAGCTGTGACCAACAATAATTAATATTTATTTATAAATTTCTTACCTCCTTGCATCCTGAAGTTCTAGGAGGGAAGTGCTGTGAAAAGCTATTGGTGTTCTTTTTTCTTCTCTGATCCCAGATTTAACCCTTGTTGTTTATGGAAACACAGGCAAGTAGACTAAGAGGTGAGCAAAAGGAAAACAACAGCTTCTATGAAATGATCTGAGGTAGGGAATGAGGTACATCGGACAGAGTGCAGCTGGGAGCGGGAGGTCAGAGGAAGGCTTTATCTCAAGCCAGTGACCCTTCCTGCCTGAGTCCAGAATTTCTCAAGAAGAGAACTTGGCTGTCTTGGGAAGTTAGGTTGCCACTCACCCTATAAAACAGGCATAGTTGAGCCTGGAGTCATAAATTACTGGGAGAGAGAAAGAGCACAAGAGAGTGGGAAAGAAGGAGGTTAATAAGAAGAGCAGAGGAAGACTCTTTGGGATGGTCTGGGCTCTATCTGGAGGGGATGGGTTGCTGCCTCCAAATGAGCCTGTGTAGTGGGGGGATGGTGTGTGGTGACTGGGGGGCCATCTGCTCAGGCTGATCCTGTTTGCTCCCAGCAGGCACTGCACCTTTTGGCAACCACCCTACCGGAGATTTTGATGATGGGTTCCTGCGCAGAAAACAGCGCCGGAACAGGACAACATTCACACTTCAGCAGGTAATGATGGTGTTCTCCTTCTGAAAGTTAGCTGTTTCTTGCCTCCAAAAAAAAAAAAAAAGATAAAAAGGAAGAGAGTTTTAGCTGCTCTTCTTCATCTTTTAAAATAAGGCCAACTGATCATGTTAATTAGATCTTTCTTTTTTCTTAAACAACTTTTGTGTCAAGGAATCTGTTTGGGGAAAGGGCAGAAGACTTTGACCTTATGATCCTAGATAGTAAGTGAAGAGGCAATAACGATTGCTCTCATTTGCTTATGGTTGATAGTTTGGGGAAAATTTTAACGTCAGTGATATCATTTGAACCTGTAAATAACCCTTTGGGGAAGGCAAGTAGGACATTCTTATTCCTGATAGGTAGATGGGAAGACTGGGGCCCAAGAAACTGGCAGATTTGTAGAAGATATTGTTGCCCATAAATGGAAGGACTATGATTGGAAACCTGGTACTGTGTTTCCTGGACCTGGGCCCCTTCTCTAAGATCTGTTCAACTTCTGGAGCAAACTGGCACATTCAGGAAGGTGACTCCAACATCTTACACAGTTTCTGTGTAGCTGACACAGAGAGGGCAGCTGCAAATTACTTCTCTTATCCTGGCCCTATGGTGAATGCTTGTGGATCACTTTAATTCATAAGGCCACTCTTCCATTCTGATTCTTATGAATATATTTAAATGTAAATGTATGTAAATATTTGCACCTCTCTTTGTATTTCTACTTCTTGGGGGAACTTTGAGGATGTTAGCAAGACTTAGCTCCTAAGTTATCAGCGGTTGAAATTTTAATTCTGTGGGATCTTTTCAAACAGCTCTTTTCTCTCTCTCCTTTCCCTATTTGATCTGTGAAACAACTTCCTCACCACTCTTAGCAAATTTGAAATATATGTCTGCTTCTTCTCACCTAGCCACAACCTCTCACTAGTAAATACTTCTTCCTTTTACCAGCTGGAAGCTCTGGAGGCAGTTTTTGCCCAGACGCACTACCCTGATGTATTCACCAGAGAAGAGCTGGCTATGAAAATAAACCTCACAGAAGCCAGAGTGCAGGTGAGCCTTCTGTTCAATTATTTAACTCCCTAATATTAAAACTGGCAAACTTTTTTTTTGACATCATGACTGCAGAGTGCACATTTGGCCAAAGAAAGCAAATGAAGACTATCTGTCATTTTCATGATGCACTTTAATAACATCAACATAATGTGGAATATTAGATTAGGTTGATTAATCGGTCATTCATAATTAACTAGTGATAATGTTCTACACTAATTTGTCCGCGTCTCTAAGGTACTAAATTACATCAATGCACATCCATTTCCTTGCTTTGGAAAAAAAATAAAAAAGAGCTGAGATGCTATTCTCAAAGCAGCTCTGACCACTCTGGTCTAAGGCCGGTCAATTGCAGAGAACTGTATTTTCAGATGGGAACAGGGTTAGGATCCGCTTTCCAGAAATTGCATTATGTCTAACTTTCCCCAGCATGAGGACAATTTTAGAGAAGTGAATCTGAAGAACATGTGCAATTTAAAAATCTTTAAACAGCAGCAGCGACAGGGCTGCTGCAGAGATGAGCATGGCCTGCAGTGACTGTCTCTGAACAGCATTTCTTTTTAGAAGCTACAGGATGATTACTTTTAAGTGCACAAACCCATTGAGCCCAGCAGATGTGTCCGAGCACAGGAGGCACAGATCCGCAGCGCTGCCTCTCCAAGCAAGCTATTCTTTGAGCACAATTATATATTCATTTTATATATGGGGTTTCCTCCATGCTGTTTCTGTTCTTTTTTATGTAGGGGCTTGGGGTTAAGACTATGCAAAGATCTAATTGTAGGAAATATAATAGTTTGCTTTCAGTTCCCTTGGGTCATGTTAGTATCTCTTAAAAACCAATGGCTGAAGAGAGATAATGGAATTCTGAGCAGTAAATTGGGGGTTGTAAACAAATTATTTCCCCTATAATCAGATTATGTGATCCTGATTATTAAATCTGAACATGAATCATTGGTCATATGTGGGCAAATTAAACTGATTATTATTTGGAAATGAAAATCTCCTTTGGCCAGGATGCAGTCTCTCCTTTCTTTTTCTAATGCCAGCTTGCCAATAGCTGCCTAAAGACTGAACTGCAAATTGAGATAAATGACACAATTATTGAGCATTCAGAAGTGGAAGATCATAACTTCTCCCTGAAAGGTGCAAGGGTGAGATAGGGGTGGTGACAATTAAAGCTGGGAATTGTCGTTAGGGCTGTTGTTGGCTATTATGCAAACAGACAATGGCTGCGAAGCAATTTTTTTAGTGAGCCTGCGTGTGGGGACACTGGCTTCAGGCTTTGGTGGTGGCAAGAAGGGAGATGTGTTTACATTTACACTGCTTGCTCATTCAAATATGATTAATGTTCTATAAAGCAGGGTCTTAATCGAAGCTGATGTTGTCAAACAATAACTAAATAGGGAAATAAACGACTCCATCATGCTCTTTCCTCAGAAGCAGGCGAACTGTCAGTGCAAAGTCATTAAAATATGATAATGAAAAATAGCTCAATTAAATGTTGTCATAGCTGTGACCTTCATTCAATTAAGACGCAAGAAAGTGTCTGCATTTTGCTTTGCATTTAACTGCCCTAAATTTAGAATATAGATAAAATCATTATTCAATGGTTCCTGATATGTGCAATTAAAAGCCAACTAGATTAAAAAGAGAATGAAAGCCTGATAAAGGAGAATGAAAATTTGGAGGTGCAGTGGCCATCAGAGGGCTCAGCTTTGGGACCCAGGTGCCTTCCTGGGCCAGTCTGCTGGCAGGAGGAGAGCACGTCCCCAGAATAGGAGGGAGGTCTAACCAAGCATTGTTTTGTAAGCCAGGAATTACCTCCTAGGAGAAGGGGGAAGAGGTTTTGCTGGATGGAGTAAAGAGAAGCAGGATTTCACTGACCTCTGGAAAAACCTCGGGCCTGGGCTGCCCAAGTGCCATGAGGCTGTCCTACTGCACATGCAGTTTTGCTTTTTACAGCTTAGAGAATTCTACACCAGCCTCTAAGAAGGTACTTAGATCTAGCAGGTGAATCATAAGCTACCCCCTAACCTGAGGATGGCAGAAATGAAAACATTAGCTATTGTTTACCTAGTGAGGGATTACTATGTGCCAGGTTCTTCATGCATCTCTGCATTAATCTTCCTCATAATGCCGGGGGTGGCCAATATTATTACCCCCGAACAGTTTGAATCATGACTCCTAGCTAACCCACTGGGTTTCAAATTGTGGATCTGCCACTTACCACCAAATGACCTTGGGCAAGTTAATTGACATCCTCTGCTTAGTTTTTTCATCTGTAAAGTGGAGGAGATAGTAGGAGTGCCTACCTTATAGGACCGCAGTGGACGTTAAAAAAGATTCACAGGTGTTCAGAATTCTAAACCAGAAATGACTCTAGAGTCAGGGTTTCTAATGAGGGTATTGGGCTGCTGGTCATGTACTTATCATGATGTGCAAGAGATGATTTCAGGGTTAATCACAAGTATTAGGCCAGACATACTCAGGTGCTCAGGAAAAATATGACAAAAGGGTGAATGAGTATTTTGATGAGAAAACTCCAGGCAGTGTTTTATAAATGCGTTGATGATACCCCCTGCCCCACAGGAAATATTTTCACATCAAATAATTGTACTCACATACATTGAGAAATTACACAAAACAACACTATTACCTTTACTATGGAAATGCATTTGGGTACTTTCTGTGATTTAACACTCATTAAAAAATGCCTGTCATGCCTTCTACACTGATTTCCAGACCTGTTCATGGGTCTGCAGCTGCAGTTCAGAGCACCACTTTGGCTGATCTTTTGGTGAGGGGAGGCTGTACCTCTGCCCGCCCACTGCTGCAAGGTGAGCCAGGAGGGCACGGAATGGAGTCCAGGCGTTTGCACCTGCATTCTGGTTCTCTCCTCATGTCTGATTTTCTGCCTCTGTTGTGTGTGTTTTTCCACTGGGGATTCAGGTTTGGTTCCAGAACCGAAGAGCCAAATGGAGGAAAACAGAGAGAGGGGCCTCTGACCAGGAGCCAGGAGCCAAGGAGTCCATGGCAGAGGTGACGTCACCACCTGTGAGAAATGTCAATTCTCCACCCCCTGGGGACCAGGCTCGGAACAAGAAGGAGGCTCTGGAGGCTCAGCAGAGGTGATGCTGGCTGGATTCCTGGGCTTGAAAGGCTGGTGGGCATACAGGGTTGGAAACTCATGTGATTTTCTTTCTCTGCCAGCTTGGGGCGAACAGTGGCTCCCACTGGACCTTTCTTTCCCTCCTGCTTGCCAGGGACCCTCCTGAATACGGCCACATATGCCCAGGCCCTGTCACATGTTGCCTCCCTGAAAGGTGAGTTTGGCTTTGCTGGCTGGGGATCCTGGAGGTTGTCTGACCAACCTGCTTTCTCTATTAGGCTCATCCTTGCACCTTGGGCTGGTGCAACTCCTTTTCTCCTTCTGCTGGCCACAGCCAGGGTCAGTTTCCACACATGCCATCTTGTTGCTTTTCCACATGGCCTGAGAACTAAGGTAAATGCACCTGACAGAGGCTTGTCTGAGAGGTGGTCATTTCAAAGTGATTACTCTGTGTTCATAGATTGCTCCTGGTCATAGGTAACACTTTTAGGAGCTCACTTGCAGTTCACAGGTGAGGCCTGTGAGGGGCAATTATCCCATCTTCAAAAGCCCCTTTCCATTTGTAGAGCTTGCTGTCTGCCCACCCCAGGAACACCTGATGTCAGAGGCTGGCACTCTTAGGATTTGTGGTTTTCCAAGATTTGCTCTTCTTAGTGGTTATTGTTGTCTGGAGGGTGGAGACCATTGGGAACACTTTGTCAGGACTAGAGAAAGAAACACTTGTGGACTGTCTCTTGAGGATTTCTGTGCACCCCTGCTGGACGAATGGGCCCACCCAATGTCGTCTCTTAGTTCCTGGCCTCAAACCTACTCCTCCTGTGATGGGTCACACTGGTGGCCAGGAGCAGGGCTGGATCCCAGAAGGGGTCTGGGGGAGTCAGTGTTAGTGTTCCCTTGGGGCCTTGACTGTCACAAGGGGGTCTGGGAGGTAGGGGTGCAGGTGCCACTGTAGGCTTTTTCCTGATAATAAGTGGTGGCTCAGGCCCCCAGGGTGTCCCCTGCTTGTCCTGTGTCAGAGTCTAGGGGATGATTGAGGGCATTCATTCATGATGATGGCTGATGGAATCTCCACAGGAGTTTCATGAAGGGTGAGAAAGGCATTCTGGGCACAGGAACAGTACATGCAAATAATGCACGGCAGAGGTGGAGGGTTTGGGGATGGAAAACCAGGCTTTTCTAGAGACTGGTGGGTATTTTGAGTACCCACGGGAGAGTGTCCAGAGATAGGTGGAGGTACCTGGCAGGGGCCAGAGCTTGAAGGGCCTGAATGTCATGCTTCTGGATTTGGACTTTTTGATGTAAGACATGGAGCTCCAAAGCCCAGAGCCACTTCTAGGCGGTCCAGCTAGCTGGGTATAAGTGGATGAGGCTTGGCGTCATCCAACTCTGGGCCTTGCACCCTCCTAGCACTTCCTTCAGCTACAGTGACTGTGCACTCAGGAGGCCACATACAGCCCCCCTAGAGTGTCCTTAGGACATATCTGCAGGACATAATAGGCTTAAAGGGAACTACAGAGGTGGAGTCAGCCAACTGGAAGGGGTTTCTGGAAGGAGATTACCAGCAGGACTTGGGTATCAGCCAAGGAGCTGGTTGGTCTAGCCAGAGGAGCAGTCCTGTGTCTGCCTGTCAAATCCTCTCTGCTTTAGTGAGGGTTAATTCTGTTCCTGAGAGGAGCTGTCTTTTTTTTTTTTTTTTTTTTTTTTTTTTTTTTTACAAATGTTCTTTGCTTTCCTACTCCAGACTCATGAATTGGAGGTGATTCCCATATCTCTTTCCTGTGGCAGCCTGTGGGGATCTTTGGCTAACCAAACTGAGATCTTGGTGGAGGCTGTGGTGGCTGAACAGCAATCTAGAGAGCCACACTGTCAGGCAGGTAGGGCAGGATAGCACCTGAGGGAGGCTGAAGGCAGTATTGACAGGGAGACAGCAGGGACTTGTGCCTCCCACACCCTGACCCAGGACAAAGGCAGGGACTAGAGGGAGGGGCTGGTAAAACTGTCAGCCCTCCTTTTTTCCCTCATTCCCATACCCCGGCCCTTCCCTAAGCCTTTCTCACTGACTCCAGGGGTCCTGCACAGTGCCTGTCTCACTGGAAACACACTTTCCTTTGAGGTTACCCTTGCCACAGTAGTGGGGGCTTGGGGTGCGCAGGAACCTGCAGAGGTGACAGAAATCATGGTGTGCTTACCAAACGGGGGAGCATCTTTGTGTACTGTGGTGGCATTGCTTGGGCATCCTGCATGTCCCTGTGAGAAGTTCCTCCTAACTGTAGTCAGAGGGTCAAGCATATTGGGGCAGATGACACATGCAGATGTTTCCAGAGCCAGCAGACTATGGGTGCAGTGAGCATGCATACCCATTTCCTTTGTTTCCTCAATACAAATGAACTCTCTCACTCATGTTTCTTGAAAAATATGGCCATCTTGGTCTATTTGTCATTTTCCCTCTTTTGAGAAAGACTTGGGGAAAAGGCATACTGCTCTATTGTCAGAAACAATTTTTTGAGGAACATGGTAAAAAGCATCCTGGGATCAAGACTGGGCAGCATTTACCATTCAAGGGTCCACTGTTACTCAAGCCAGCTGACTGTGGCCAGTGGGAACAGGGACACTGCATTGCCAGAACTATTGAATTTTGATGAAACTGGAAATATGGATTTTCATTTGAAATGGTCCCATCTTTCAAATGTTGCCTCCAAGTCTGTGGGACCAAACTGGAGCATTCTTGATCTGAATGGCCTGTGACCTGCCATTCTGCAAGAGCGGGTTTTCTTCTGCCCGTTCCCATTTCTGCTTTCTGTGTCCTATTCCCTGTGTACATTCCCTGTGTTCCTCCTTGGGCCTCCCCTCAGAGTATTTCTACTGCAGTGGCTCATCCGGATCCTCTCACCACCATGGCCCATTCCTGGTTTGCCTCTTTGAGCAGCTGGTAAGTTAAGTCATGTTGGAAAGGGAGGAAAATGAGCAGTTACTGAAAACCTCCTCTGTGATCTGCCAGTGGTCTTGTGCTGTAGTTCTATTTTCTTCTAAAAGCAGAATTATACAGAAAGGGCTCCATGGTTACACAGTTGCTCTGAGATAATGGCTGGCATCAGGTGGAGTATCTCTGCATTCTATAAGTGCCTGACCCCATGTGGTGGCACTTTCAGAAGGGAGGTACTCTGAGCTGGAAGTTTCTGGGGCTGCCTGTGAGTTCACTGGTCAGCGCAGCCCCACTTCAGACCAGGTGAGTCCAGCAGTCTCTGGAGAGGTGCTTGGGGAACCCAGCCTCTGCCTTGGACCTGGGGTGAGAAATGTGTACCTGCAAGTCAGGTTATAAACACCCCTGGGTTTAATACTCAGTGGTTTTGTGGCACATTTGTAAAGTGGTCTGGGGCCAGGATGGCTTTCTGGCTTTTGCAGCCCACATCTTGTCACTTCCCCAAGCAACAGAAATTAAGTACATAGCCCAATTTGGGCCCAATGGAGGACCAACCTCAAGTTTCTAGGATCTGGCTCAGTGCCAGCGATCTCTGGACTATAATCCAGCCTCCATCACTTTAACTGCACCCTCAGAGGTGGCTGGAAAGCCAGATGCTGGCAGAGCTGGTGGCTGAACCAAGCTCTCTTTCTCTGCAGCCTGAACATCCTAGGGGCTGCTGGCCAACTAGGGGACTGCTGTAGCTGGCTGGGAGGAGGCTCATGCAGATGGTTCTAGAAGACACCCTTCTGGGCTTCTAAGCTCATCATTCCTTTCACAAATGAGAAATTGAGGCTCAGGGAGGCAAGGTCACTTGCTAACACATCACTTATTCAGCTAGGTTTCCCCTTTGGGGTCTAGGCTATTCTCCATAGGATCCTGATGTGCCCCTTCCTCCCAACACCATTTATTCATTCATTCTTCTGAATGAGCACTGCTGATAGGGGCCTTGGATCCCCACCCTGCTTCTTTCCAGCAAGTATGGACAGCTCTGAGTCCACAGCTATGAGATTCACCCAGGACTACCAGGACTAATGTGAGCTGAGCACCATAACTCTTTCCAACCTGGAGATTCCAATCCATTCTTCCAGGCCTGCGGCAACTTGCAAATACTCAGAAGAAATAAATCAAAGTGATTTTCAGCTCCCAGACCCAAACCAGAGCTTGGTGTCTCCTTCCTTAGGATTTGTAGTCCTAGAGGGACCACATAGCCCTGGACTGAAGACAGTGAGTGTTCAAGGTTCTGGTTCAAGGTTCTGGCTTCACAGGAGACCTCACTCTAAGTGCTGCTCCCCAGTCTTCATCCCAGACCTGAGGGCCCAAGCAGAGCCTGCCGGCTGCACCAGCACTTGGCCAGATTATGAGGACAATGCAGTGCTGCCAGGGTGGGATCAGTTCCCCCAGGGGCATTAGGACCACCCCAGTTAGTGGTCCCAGAACTCAAGGCTTGGGCACGTTATATACAGTTACAACTTGAAGGGCTCTGAGTTGGGGTTCTGGTCTTTTGGTTCTAGGCATTGCTGTGACAGATGTGAAGTCTTTGCCTGGGAAGTACTGAGAGAGTCTCCAGGAGTGTTTGTGGGCTAACTTGGGGTTCACTGAGTTACAGTTTTCTGAGTTTTTAAAGTAGTGATCCTTGAAGTCCTTAGGTCATTTAATGTAGTTTTATGGGAAGTCAAATGCACTTGCTAGAAATTATTTGGTTTTGAATGGGCTCTGAAAATGAGAGTGCTTTTGGAATAATGGCTGTCAGTGTCTGAGCAGGTAGCCCCGTGGGGAGGAAAAGAACAGGCAGTGGCAGATCAGAGGTGCTGATACATGCTCCAGAGGCCCCAACCACTGGACTCCAGAGCACAGAGTTGCTTGTGCAGTGATGCCAAGCTCTGCTTCCCAGGTGAGTGGGGTGAGCAAGCTGGGCCCTGTCAGTTCGTGACTGCGGCCCAGAATATGCCAGTGGATCTAGGCTCTGCTTTAGAATCTTTATATCATGGAAGAAAGTAACCCAGAAAATGTGAAGGGGAACAGCCACTTTGCTGAGTTTTAGCACACAGACTGAGAAGTCAGCAACAGGAAACTCCAGATTGTCTTTTCTTAGAAAATTAGATAGAATAACTTTGATTCCTTGAAGATATGTGTTGTAAGCAGGGCCCTGATGTTTGGAAGCATCTGGAGAGCTGGAGAAAACCAAGATCAAACTGGAAGTTACCCTGTATTTGGATAGTCTACCTAGCTCAGAACTGCCACAGCACATGCCA